ATCATGCAGCCCGCGGGCTAGACATCCACGGCAAAAAGGAGAGGAGAGAGCGGGAAAGACGAAGCTCAAGAAGAAAGATACAGTTACAATGGCGCTCGCCCAATATTACATTTACTTGCAAGATTAAGGGCGACGACTAATCAGAGCTCCGTTGCAGCCGCAAAAAGAAGCGCACAAGCACAAGCAGTGCGCGGCCAAAGAAATCCCAAATTCCTAAATTCTTAAACTTATTGCAAAAGGAACTTTTTAATAAAGCGCAAATTCCGAAAAGAAAGTCCGAAATTCCGAGAGCCATCCGGGCTGGACAAGATTCGAAAGGAAAAGGAAAATTCGAAAAGAACGAAGCAAAATTCCCGCGCGATCTCCGCGCCTAAAATCCGACAGCCCAAACAAAAAGGAGACGACGTCAACCATTATTACTCGCGCGCTCATCAACGAGCCACTCAACCGATCATCCCAGGATTTGCCCAGCCTCGAACCTACCCATCCGAAAAGAAGCGACGCAAAAAGACGAAGAAGCGAGGACACCAATGCAATTTCCCTTCGATCCCGATCTCTCGTAATTGGCCCATCCTTCCCATCTCAGGACCCCTCATTGTCATCGCGCAGAAAGTCGCGCGGAATAGAAATTGGTTCGTCACATATGTGACGCCCAGGGGGTTCCAATCTTAAGCAAGCTCCCGCTTGCTTGAATCATGACACATGTCGATCTCTCTAATCGATCGACACGCAGAGCCTTCTTTGTTGCCACTTACCGTTCGATAAGAGTGTGGACGTCATCCAGGGTGGCACACGTGGCTCTATCCTACAATTTCCTTAGGATGGGCTCTCTTCAGTCCAAGGAGGGGATCGTGCGTGCCATCACCGTGGCACGTGCCAATCAACCGTGCATCAATGACCTAAGGAAAGGGGAAAGGGAAGACGATACATGGGGGCATGGCGAGGGGGTGGGTTAGTCGGGAGTGGGGGTAGAGAGCGTTCCAACCCTGCGATTGTCACTGGAAGCTCCTGATATCGAATGATCCGGTGGAAGCGAGAGAATCGATTAGCACTATGAGGAAGGGATGCGAGATAGTCGGGGTAGAGGGTGGTGAAAGTTCGGAAGAGTGCCGTGCGAAAGTGATCGTGGTTTTCGCATGTGGGGATAGTCCCCGTGATCATGTAGTAAACCTCGATGATGTTGTGGCCTCGCCACGCGGCACTGAAGAGAAGGGCGTGGAGACAGAAGACAGGGGTGGCACACTGGGTAGAGGGGTGGGGATGAACCGTGACAGCAAGACGGGTGGCGTAGAAAAAACGGAAGGTGTCGATTGGAAAGGGATTGCGGGGGAAGGTGATGCGGGTGGTGATCTGGCGGAGGGTGAGGTGGTCAAGGGAACGACGGGATAAGGACCGGGGACGAGGCCCGATGCCCCACATCGATACGAGCTCGAACTCGTGGATGGGTGGAGGTGGAGGGGGAGGGGGATCGGCTTTGTCGCCGTCGGGCCGGTGCGCTCGAAGTCTCGGCAGCAAGGTCCCCATCGTCGTTCTTGGGCGGATCTGGACCCTTGGCTGGGTCGTTCGGGATCGGCAGATCCACTCCACTTGCGAGCTCCAGCAGCTGCTTCCCGACTGCGATCTCCTCTCTCCTTCATGCCGCCTCGGGATCCTCCTCTTGAGGCTCTGCGCGATCCGCCTCTTCACCCAAAGTCTCCCACTCAGATTTCTCCTCTTCCTCCAACTGATCCTCTTCTTCTTCTTCTTTTTCTTCTTCACCCGACTCTTCCTCGCTGTATTCACTGTAACTCCCTGCTTCTTCCGAGGTTTCCTCTTCTCCCCCCTTGTCGCCTTCCTCTAACTGATCCTCTTCTTCTTCTTCCTCTAGCGTTAGCCCTTCGTCTTCGGAGGCCGTTCGAGGCTGAAAGAAGTCGAGGTCGATTATCCTCCGCGGGTTCACGTATTCTCGTTGCGATGGCGGGTTGTTGTTACCTCCCTGTTCCTCGAGACAAGCCGACCACTGTAGGTAGGGCGTCAGAGTTCGTGAAAAGACGTGCGGGACCGGGCTCTCGTTGCAATGCGAAACAATATCGAGAGGGAGATCGTCGACCAACTGCGCGAGGGGAATCGCGAGCTCCTGTACGATCAGCTGTCGATGGTCGGGCCGCACCGATCCGGATAAAAATCCGAGAAGGTCTCCTTCCACCTCCGTCCTCCAAGCTTGGATGATCAACAGCTCTGCGTATTCGGTCCAGGCGCAGTGCTCTATGTCCCTCGTCCACGTCAGCTGCACCCCGACCAGACACATCGAAAGATCAACGAAGTGCTCACACCACAGTTCCCAATGTCCTCGATCGAGGAGGGGAACAACGAGTGATTCCAGACGAAAGGAGAGATGGGGGCAAAGGTCTGATTGCCAAAAGGTAGGGAAGAGAGATGGGAGAGCGAAGGTAGAGAGCTGGGAGTGGTTCATTGAGGACGCTGGAAGGGAACGAGCTCCGGAAGCACCACCGTCGGCTCGTGCCGAGACGTTCGGAGCCCTCCGACGTCGATGTCGTCCGTGGGGACAAGATTGTCGCCACGGCGCGTAAGCCACTGATTCCACTCCGTTGTCAGTTGCTGGCCCCGCTCCCTTAGCGACGTCCAGATGGTCGTGTGTCGCAGAGGGATGATCGCGCTAATATCACCGCTAAAGATGACGACGGTAGACCCGTGGCTCACTCCCGGTGCTGACAACCGTCGAACTGCTGTCGCCTCTGCCAATACGATCGCTTGACGATGGCCCGTGAACCGGAACTCCGCCGCCGCGTACACCCCGGTAGTGCTGAAGAATTGCGCGAGCCGTAGAAGATCCGGACTGAATCGCGGGTGATGAACTTGCCGAATTGTCGAAATGTCGTCACGTGGCGCCAACATGTGATCGCCGAGAGCCCGCTCAGTGAGAAAACTCATTGCGATGGCGATGGGGATGGGGTACGAGAAGGGGCGAGAGATGCAAGAGGGGATGAAAGCGATAAAGAGTCGGCGTCCTCCTCTGTAGCAAAGGAGGAAGCAGACACAGCTGGAGATGGAGAGGAAGGGAGAAGTCGTAGATAGGACACGTGGCGGACGATCGGTCGAGCCGATCGGCTTCCCGAGACCTCCAACACGAGGCGCACGGTGTTCACCCCGTTCGGACCGAGTTCGATCACACGAAATCGCCCGAAGAATCGTGGCGCTATCTTCCCTTGGCGAGCACATTTCCTCACCTGCACTAGGTCCCCTAATTTATACTGGGGTCGTGGTCCTGCATTCCCATTTCGGGCCTCGTAGCTACGGATCTGTCGGCCATGGGCCAACTCCGTCATTTTCTGACGCTTTCGGGTTAATCGGGGAAGGGACCGTTCCATCAGCTCCATGTGCCGCTTGGTTCCCGAACCGTGGCTCTTGTGGGCCGTCGGTTCAATGAGGATTCATCGGGGAGTCTCGGTATCGAGACACAAGCTACGCTATTGGTTCGTAATTGGAAGGGGCTAAGGCCCGTCGATTCATGAGGCGTTCCTCGATGGACCGCCAGGATGTGATCTACGATATAGGGTTAGGGCCTCGGATCCTGTGCCACGATGTTTCGTCGCAACGCTGTCTTTATCACCCGATTTGCGTTTTCTACCAGGCCGTTAGATTGTGACATGTGGGGTGCAGTGTTCCGAATGGCGACGCCATGTACGACGAGATTCCTTAAAACTTCCCCTCTGAATTCTACCCCATTGTCGGTCAGGATTTCCTCTGTGTCCTGATGCATCCCTAAAAACCGGTACGTATCGCGCAATTTCATCCGCCTGTCGTGTACGACACGGATATGCCTCAATCCATTTCGAAAAGTGGTCTACGAATACCCGTAGGATTGAATATTCGCAACTATTAGGTCCAGGGGGCACCACAATATCGGTAGTATCCATGCTAACCCTCTGAAATGGCCGTTCAACTACCATCGGTACTATCGATCTTGGCGGTTGGATCGGCGCCTTGTCAGCAGCGCAGATCTGGCAGTTCGCGACGATGAATTCCACATCATCGCGAATATTGGACCAATACCATTCATTTTTGTCGATTGCCGCTTCTGTGATCCGTACGGCAAAATGGGTTGCAGTTTCTTCGTGTGCCGTCTTAACCCAGTCATACCTCATGAACGGGTGCGGCACTACCATCCAAATCCCACTACCATCCGTCTTTCGTTTTTGTAACCGGCCCTCGTTCCAGCGATAGTCTCGAGCCCTTTCATTAGCCCTCCTCCGATCCTCCTTAGTGAAGTCTTGGAGGGGGTTACCTACCAAGGTAGTTATTAAAGCGATATCAGTCCATACCTCGGCCTTTCTAAACTTTCGGGTTTTTTCCAACCCTTCTGACGTGGCGTCAAGAAATCGAGCTTCGGTCGGGATCTTATCAACCCGACACAAGGGACACAACCAAGGCTTATCGCCATTTCTGTACTGGATGCACGAGCCGTGGGCTCGTGCGACACACTGCCGACAATCTATCCATTCTACATATCCCACCCCACTAGGACGCATAGGGATCAAGTAGACGCGCGAAATCGCTTCACAAAAATAACAAAATTTGTCGGGTAAGGGAAGAAGAGATGAAGACGAGAGGGGAGAGAGAGGAGTTGCAAGATTACCTCCGTCACCCATTGCCAATCGCCTGCTTCTTGCCACGTGGAAGGACTGCCACTTGTCCGTAGTTGGGTCCGTTCGCTGACTCCGATCCCTTCCACAGAATGATTTATTCACCCTTAGGTACCTTAGCGGGGCGATGCAGACGTGTCAACCCGTCTGCGTTGTCGTGCCTCTCTGTCTTTCGATGGATGATGTCGAAGTTGTATTCCTGTAGGCGCACCGCCCACCGTCCAATCATACCCGTGTAAGGAGTGAGCTTCTTGAGAGCCAGTAATGGCTCGTGATCGGTCACAAGGAGGAAATTATGTCCGTACAAGTACGGATGGAAGTGTTGAATCCCCCAGACCACTGCGTAGCATTCGCCCTGCGGGGCCGAATCGTTCCTCCGCTCGTCTGGCACCGTGCGTGATGTGCGTACTCGATGACGTATTCTTAGTCGTCGTTCCCCTTCTGCCCTAGAATAGCGGAGATCGCCTCTGGCTGCCAGTCCGTGATAAAAATGAACTGCTTCATAGGGTCCGGTCGGATCAAAATAGGTGTCGTCGCCAGGGCGTCCTTGAGGGTGGTGAAGGCCTGTTCGCACTCTGCATCCCAGTTGAGGGGCTGGTCCTTTCGCAGTAGGTTCGTTAGAGGTCGCGCAATTGCGGCGAAGCCTTTGATGAAGCGACGATAGTACGACGCCAGCCCCAGAAAAGCTCGAACCTGCATTAATGACGTGGGGACAGGGGCGTCTTTCACCGCCGTGACTTTTCTCGAGTCTGGTCGCAGTCCTCCACGTGTCAACATGTAACCCAAGAACAAGATTTCCGAGAGGAAAAACTCACTCTTTTCGAGCGCGATTTTGAACCCAACATCTCTCAGAGCTCCCAGCGTCCATTCGATATGTTGTGCATGCCCGTGATAGGTTTTCGAGTAGACCAGGACGTCGTCCATATACACAATGACGCAGAAGTTAATCATCCCCTGAGTTAGCCACGTCTTGTTGACGAAGTTCTGGAATGTCACATTCATAGCTCGCTGAAACGTGGCAGGCGCGTTGCAAATCCCCATCGGACACCGAACCCACTGCCAGGTGCCTTCAAATAGCACAAAGGCCGTTTTCGGTCGATCTTCCTCCTTAACCAGAATGTGATGGAAGTCATGACGAATATCAAATTTACTGAAATAATTAGCACATCCAATCGCATCCAGCAAATCATCAATCCTGGGAAGGGGGTACACATCTTTAATCGTGATGTCATTCAGCTTGCGATAATCAATGCATATGCGAATCGATCCGTTCTTCTTCGACACTAAGACTACCGGGAACGACCATGGCCCGGTGGCGGGTTCGATCCAACCATTAGCTTCGAATTCTCGAATCCGCTCAAGGGTCGTTTTCCGTTCTACTAGGGAGTATCTGTAGGGCTTACAGTGAATCGGGGGATGGTTTCCGGTTTGAATCTCGTGTTGTATGACTAACGACAGTCCAATGTCTGTGTCTGCTATACTAATCGCTCCTTTGTATTCTTTTAGAATTTTCGTGATTAGATGATGGATCTCATTAGGTACGTATTGGGGCACGTGCAACTCGTACAACTCATCCCATATCTGTACATCGATATGTTTCGTACTTACCCGCGTAGTGTTTTCAGGCAGGGCCGCGGAAATAAACGAATTATCCGATCGCCAGGAGAATACCGTAGCCATCATCTGTGCATCCTGCTCTCGAATGGCCACGTTTTCCTCTGGTGTTACTCCGTCTCGAAGTCCTGCCATGGCACGGGTTTCGTTGCGATTTTGATTCCGAGCCTAGTTTCGAGGCGCTCAGGGGGTTTCAAAGAATTGGTCTCCGCCCCTAAACTTATCAATCGTATCTCTTTTGCAGGTGTCAAAAGAGATCGTGGGAGATTCGTGATGTTGCAATAGTGCCTTTCGTCATTATATCGTGCGAGTAAAGGGGAGATACCTTCGTACAGGGTTCGAGGGGGTTCCAAAGAGTCGACCATCCTCGAAATCTGCACGAGGGGTTCACCCATAATAATGGCTTGCGTTCTTTGTAGATTCTGATAAGTCAGACTTAGTGATTTCGTTTTTGCTCGTTGTACAGGGTAATAGATACGTTGTTGCACCATTTCTTGAATTATTGGATCGTCCTCGTCACTGCTGTCTGCGTGCTTCGGAGATTGCTCCTCGTCAGCAAAGTTATCCCAGGTAATCACGCGAAGGGTGCCCACCATTATTGGAGAAACTCGCGGGGTTACGTTAAGAGTCAGTCTCATAGGCACAACATAGGGTTTTCCCCCTGTGTTTCGGAGGACAATCGATCGCCTCTCGAAGTCCAGATTGGCTCACAAGGCCACCAGGGCGGGAAGGCCAAAAAGGACGTCGTACGTACTTACGTCTAAAACTACGACATCTCCCAAAGCGTGTACTTTTCCTAATCGAAAAGCAACATTGGTCATTCGTCCTACCGTCTTAATCTTTTCTTCATCTGCTGAAACGAGCAGTTCTTTTTCCGTAGGCATGATTAGATCGTTCTTTTTTCCTGCCCTTTCAACTACCCGTAATGAGATAGCTAGGACAGCGGCCCTGGAATCAATGATAGCATTGTACGGAATTCCCCATACCTCGATATCGCATTCGGCGGATTTCCATGGGATTGGTTTAATCCTTAGGAAATTATCATCTTTCTGGATTAATCCTAGCCGTATCAGGTCTGAAGTACCCACTGCATTTTCATCTGGTGTGGGATTTTTTGCTTTTGTGCTCGCTGTTCGGGCAAGGGCGAATCGTTTCCGATTCGCCTTGCAATGTTGCAGCATCCGTTCGTTGGCTTGTTCCGATATCGAAAGTAAATGACCGATCGGAAGAGGTATCCGATGATCCAGGGCTCGAACGATGTTCAAAACATCGATCTCCCCAGTGACGAAAGTGGGTCCCCCCGACTCCATCTCCCCTGGAGAAGGTCGCCATGCCGCCACTTCCCTTTGCCCCGAATATCCGAGCGTTACGTACTGATCCAACGGAATTAGTTCAGCAACTTCCTCCATTGTAGCTAACGTGCTTCCTCCTCCTTGCATTTCTTCCATTAACGCTCCTACACGTCCAAGCTCGTTAGCAATCGGAGTTGCTGCTACCGGCGCAGCCCCTACTCGTGGTTGTGGGGGTCAACGAGGGCAATCCCGGGCTATGTGTCCTGGTTGATGACATGTGTAACAGACATTCAAGTTGCCAGGGATACCTGCGAGAGGCGGTGCCGGAGCCAATCCGTGTTGAATCGGGGCGGCACGCACCACTATTGGTCGCATCGACCTCATCATTGCCTCTATTCGAGCGTTGTGTTCCCGCTGTTCCTGTTTGCTTTCCTGAATCAGGGTAACCAGTGTCTTGGTTAGTGCCAATAGGGCGGAAGACTCGTTCGGTCGTGGGGGACTTTCGATCGGAGGCAGGGGTGCTGCCATTACAGGAATGGGCATGCTTGTAATCACACTCGGGACCGGTCATTTGCGGCTAATCTGTTCTAGATAGGTGACGGGGCCCGACACAAACCCCACGTTTTCAAATTTGTTCTGTAGTGCAGCCAACTCAGCTTTAACTCTCGCTAGTTCGGACGAGTCTCCTTCCCTAGGATAGTCTTCCCCTTGTAGGAAACTCGCAGCGAATTTTCGTTCCATTTCCTTAGCAGCTGCCATGATCTATTGCAACGTGTGATTGATGGGAGAGAACTGTTTTCGCAGTTTCACCCTCATCGTTCAGCTGCGAAGTTCGTCGATGAACAAATCTCTGCCTACCTGTTCGCCTCGTTCCGTTTTTACGAACATTCGATAGAATCGGTTCCAATACTCAGTGACAGACTCGAGGGGTTTTTGAACTCGATCTTTAATCATAAAAAGAGCCTGTTCCGGGTGGATGTAATCAAATCGATTCAAGAAATTTCGCTCGAATGTCGGGAGATCGACCCAGACATAGGTGCTAAACCAATGATGGGTGTCTCCTCCCAATCGTGCGGGGATATTTACCTGCGCCTCATTGTCATCATACTGCTGAGCTCGAGGCGTGGCCAACCATGCTCCGACGAGGTGATGTGCAGGGTCAAATAGATAAAGATTGGGTGGCGTCATGGGAGCCCGTGCTCGTGGTACGGGTTGATTAGGATTCTGTTGGGGGTTCTGTTGATTAGCGTTCATATTTACCGCCCGTCGAGCCGCACACCGGCTTCTGGTGACGACAGGATCGCGTCGATGCACGTTCTGTGGTCAAGGTCGTCCCCTGTTAGCCTGATCACCCAGCTATGAGTCCTAGAACCCTGCCACGTGTCGGGCTCCAATACCAACCTCACGCCCAGCGTGACTTCCTGATCGGAGTGGGATGTGGGCCTAGAAGTGCAAAAAGGGGTGTGCCAAGGATTTTTGGGAAAAGTGGGGGTGGAGTCCCAAGTCAGAACTGAGATCTCCTGTGGCGAGGGTTCAAGGGCATAGATGCAATAGGGTTAAGGGGCGGGTTGCTTCCGATCGGATGGCGGTCGATGCCGTGCAACATAAGGCTGATGGCATGCGTGGTGCATCAAGGGTTGTCTGATCCGTCTGTTTTGATAATCAATGGTTCGGGAGAGGCCCATTTGGGCGGGAGGCGATTCCTATGAGTCGGGTCTTCGAGTGCAGACACGTGGCGCCAGTCGCCGCGCGTTATGGTTAGGCTCCTTAGTTCCGGGGTTCGGCGGGGTCCGTGTCGTTTGCAGTTTCTGCACGGCGTGCTGGGCCAATACGAGGCGATGGAATTCCACAGTACCACCGTGAGTTGGTAGTACGGGAGGAGGAGACGGAAGGGAGGGAAATTGGTAGTGATAACGACGAAGCCGGGGGATATGAAGTACTGCGTGTTATACGTAATGGGGTAATCAGGGCACCTTGGATCACTGGTTATGGCACATCGAAACTCTCTAGGGCACAATCGGTTCTCGGTTAGGCAGAGAAATTTTGGGCTTCTCTACCTAAGATATTCTCTTACCCAAGGTTCGAAGTACTCATAGGCCCCTGTATACATCATCTTGTCATTGCGGCGTAGTGGAAGCCTTCTGCACGTATCTAAGGGGATTTCCCGATATGGTATCGGAAATTCCTACCAGCGTAGGTGCGCGAAAGAAGGAAAATTTTCGCCTATTCGATACTGGAGGTGTCAGGTTCGTCGATGGCCG